TGTTGAGATACGTGAAAAATTGCGGTTTCACATTTCGTGTTTTGCAGTTTTTATGGGCGTTTCTTACAATTACATATAAGGGAAGCAACTTTTCATGTCCTAAGATAACATTTCATTAATCATGAATTTACATAACTTCCGTCCAGAGGACGGGTACTCTAGCTAGTAATACATAAGTACTTTGTTTGCAGACTACATCACATTCCATATAATTATTGTTTTACTGAGGATAACTTAGACGACTACATTTTTGCTAACCCTTATCTGAAACCTTAATTTTCGGATGGTTGGCCGAACTTCATCAGAAACACAAAATAACCTATTTGTGTTATTACTCAACCAGCACATGAAGTTTTACAGCGCCAAATATATTATATTAAAATGATTTTGAATAAATAAATCATCCGTTCACGTGACAGCCACAGCCGATATAAAGTTCCGGTGAGACGAGATGTATCAGAACTACAGTTATTTATTGTCTGTAATTTCGTAGATGTTTTGATGACACTAGAAACTGATCGTTTTTGGAAAGATATGTAACAACCCTTTCGAATGCAAACCTCCAGATCATGTTCAGGTCTGGGCTTTACAACTTCCAAGACGGGAATATCTCTTGTACTTAATGACATTTGAAAACAAGAAAGATCTTCGACTACAAACAAGGTAAACAGGGTTATGGGTTCACTAAAATAGGTCTTCCAGTCATATCTCTTGTTTAACTGTTGTATATCTAAAGTATCTGGAGAGTGAAATGAGTATTCTACATAAAGATATAACGGCCAAGTCTCTAATGCAGCTTTATATAGATAATTAACTAAACCCAAGTCAGTACTTTCTAATGCAGCTTTATATAGATAATTAACTAAACCCAAGTCAGTACTTTCTAATGCAGCTTTATATAGATAATTAACTAAACCCAAGTCAGTACTTTCTAATGCAGCTTTATATAGATAATTAACTAAACCCAAGTCAGTACTTTCTAATGCAGCTTTATATAGATAATTAACTAAACCCAAGTCAGTACTTTCTAATGCAGCTTTATATAGATAATTAACTAAACCCAAGTCAGTACTTTCTAATGCAGCTCTATATAGATAATTAACTAAACCCAAGTTAGTACTTTCCAATCGGCTGAACACTGATTTATTTTATGCATGTTTGTTGTCAAGGGATGTTATTCAACAAACGCGGAAAGCTTCGTTTTATAGTGAAAGTCTTACAAAGTTATTCCTTTTCGTAAGATCCATACAGTTTGTTAATAAATAAAACTATCAGTCCCTTCTGATTACATATAAGCGACCCACCCAAAGTGTAACCTGAACAGAATAAGTAGACCAGGGCCAGGTACTTGAAATATAATGCTATCTCGTACTTCAGAATAGCCTGCGGGGTTCTTATCTAAAATTGAAAAACGTAGAACACCGTTTGGTACGACTCCACGTCATTAGTTTATTTCTTCAGCTGAAAAACCAAACATATAGACACACACACACATAGTTAAGGACAACAGTATTCTATCACTTCCAAGAGTAAATCCCTTCTTCACGTGTTTATTTGTATGGATGTGTATGGAGTTAAGGTAGGATAATGTTTATATATATATATATATTCTACTTTTTCCAGAAACCGGAGTAAGTCATCTTTTTTTCAAATCTTACCTGAATCCTGAAAAGTCCTTTTTTTTTCTCCAGAGAACGTTTCGTGAATATTTCTTTTCACCTCTTTAGAGATGAAATCTGAAGAAGTGAAAAAGAATATTCATGAAACGTTATTTGGAAAAGGAAGAAAAAAAAAGACTTGTCAGGAGTATTTTACTTTCGAAATTTAACCTATATATGTATGTATTCAGATACTTAGTACAGTACTTTACGAAAATATGAGATTGAAATAAAAAAAGCAACAAATAAACGAAAATTAGAGGAAACGAATACTAACAATTCAGTTTATAACTTAGTTTAACTATTTCTTTTTTTTCAATTTATTTCAAAATGATTGTTTTGTGTTTATGGAATATTTTTTTAGAGCTCCTAAACCGAGAGTAAAATATTTGCACACAATAACTACTATTAGTTGCAGCACCATTTAAATAATTTATACTGAAAATAGCATTTTTTTAACCCTCGAAAGCGATATTCCCTTTTGAGGTTAGGCTAATTTTAAATAATTTCATTTTGTTGTTCTGCCTGGTGTACGTATAAGAGTAGCAGTAATTCAAAGTATAAAGAATTACCTTACACAACTTAAAATTAATATGGAAATTATAGAACCATTATAAGTAAGAATGAATTTTAAATATGTATGCGAACTGTTATTTCAAATCATATTAGGTAATTAACTTTAATTTCATGAACCGAATATGAAATCTATGAATGAAATAGATTTTGTCAAACAATTTTAATTGTGTGAAATACGGTTCGTTTTATACTAGGAATATACTTTATCCTTTATGAGTTATTTGTACGTTAGCTCTCCTCCTCTTCAACGTGCAACAATCATTATAAGAAAATGACAGTGTGTGGTATTCATGTTGTTGTTAAGAAAATATATATATATAAAGAGTTGATATTTTATTTACAAAATTAAATATTTATTGGGTGATGCAATGAATTGTTTAATGCGTGTGTAGTACATACAAATGAATTGTTTAATGCGTGTATAATACATATACATATATTGCTGCATAAATAAACATACAATGCTTTATAATACCATATCATTCTGTTTATTTTTTTAACCATTTGTTACAGATTTAGTAGATAAGTGCCATTGTTCGGTGTACTTCTGAATTACTGCAAGTATTAAAGCACGTTTGTGTCATTCTTCGTGATTACTGCAAATATTAAAACACGTTTGTGTCATTCTTCAGTGATTACTGTAAGTATTAAAGCACGTTTGTGTCATTCTTCGGTGATTACTGCAAGTATTAAAGCACGTTTGTGTCATTCTTCGTGATTACTGCAAGTATTAAAGCACGTTTGTGTCATTCTTCAGT